ACGATGATAATTGCATTCGGGTACGTGCTACGTGCACGTCTGACCGGATTTAGCACTACCTGAGCGATTGGTTGTGATCGAGTACGTGTTTTATCACATTGTTTGGCAACAACACGGCCGAGAGAATCTATAAATACCTTAAGCGTAAACAATAACTTCTTATTCCTATTAGGCGACGGGTTACACGTCACGGCACTTGAATCGGTATCTTATGTACTACCCGAGAGATGTTCAGACGTTGCAATTCGACACGAGACCCGCAGAATAGGTCTTGGGGGAAAAAAAAATGGAACGGAACTGTGGTATTTTTGCTCTAATCTCTGCTTCGCTTTCAGCACAATTTATCCTGCACCAAAAACAATTCTCGCGCTGTTTATCCGCTAATTCTTTCTTTCCTTTTATTCTTACGACACTCTGAATTTATTTTGAAAGGAAGTGTCGCGTGAATTTGTAGAAATGTACGTTGAGATTTGCTTTGCCGCCTACCGGCTAGCTTACATCATCTTAGTTTTTTAGTTTCCATTGTTTTTGTGTTACAAAATGAGGGACGATCGCGATTTAGTTGGCTACGCGTATATTGTGTATATTGTCGATTGCGAATGGTCTCAGAACGAAGGGACAAAAAACTGAGAAGAGACCATCCCGAGATCGGTACGAGCACGTTCCGCTCTTTTGTAACTTTCTCCACCCGCCGCCGTCCCGCCACAGTTCCGTAAATCCTGTCACCGGAGTTCTAACGTCAAACGTTTAAGTAAATTCTATTAAATTCCCGGTATTCGCGCGTCACTAGACGCAATCTTCAAACAAGTTCCTATGTAAAGGAAAAAAAAAAAAAAAAAGGAAAGAAAGATGTCCATTCATCTACGGATTGCAAGGTCATTCGCGACAATACAGTTGTGTTTTTTCGCTTGGTTTCAATCGCCGTGTCTTTGAAGTCGCGTCCCGCTCGATTCGTGCCGGTCCGAAGATCACCACCGGCCAGTGATCGTCGCCACCGAGGCGAATTCATCACCGAAGCGGATCGTCACTGCCCCCCCCCCCCCGCCCCCCCCCAAGTTACCCTAGCGAGTCCTCGGTGTCAATCATTGATGGATAGCTCCGAGCTCATCACACTATTGAAGACCTGAAGGGCACACACGCAACCAACGTAGAGCTTCATTGTCTCCGTGTCGCCGTCGCCGTAGGACACCTCGATGTTTCTGTACGTCTGTATACAGCAGTAGGTGCCGGTGCCCTGACAGCTGCTGCCGATGTGATTGCACTTCACGTGCTCCAGATCCTTCGGTACCCGGGAACCCCGGGTGTCCGGGATTGACACCACGGTGTAGTTGCAAATGGAGCTGTTCTGCGCCTCCTTCACCTCCAGTTCGAAAGCTTTTTCTTGCAGACTGAATCCGTGTTCGACTTGCCAGCTTACGTCTTTCGGATTGAATCTGTGATAGCTCGCGACGTTTCCAAGTTTATTGTGACGTTTTCTCCTAGCGACGAATCTCATCGAGAGCGCGTCAAAGCCGTTGTGCCTGCGCAGGAAATCCTTTCGTAAGGACGCGCGATCTCTCGAACCGTATTCATGCTTATATCGACGGAAGGACAACGGTACTCGCTCCTCCGAGTCCTCGTACTCCACGGAACGGTCCGGAACTTCGGGGTATTCGCGACTTTTCTTCTGCTCGTAGAAATTACGATAGTACTCCAGATCGTCCTCGAAACGCCCGGACAAATCTCGTGGCAGCGATTCCTCGAAATTGTAATAATTCGAATGAGGATGATGTCCGTGTCGTCGTCTTAGACTTCGACCTTGAACGAGCGGTATGCTGACGATAACATAGGCAACAAGAATAGACAGGCAAGATCTGACGCTGAATATCGTCATTGTATTGTGATCTATAAGTTGAAAATTTACACAAAAGGAGACCTTCTCCGAAGGTTGGCAGTCTTTATCGATGGCCGCTTTTATTCTTCTTCTTCTTCTTCTTTAACTCTCTACAACCCGGAATGGACCTCAGTTTCTTCCGAGATTTATTTTTCGTCACATATAACTTTTTTCCACGTAATCTCGGGATCTTTTTTATTGTTTTAAATGTTGTTTTTATCACGTTTTTTAATCACAGTGGTATAATATTTTTTCATTTAAATATTCTTCTCTATTAATAATGTCGGCTTGTCTTCCGGACACTTTTGAAATAATAATGTAGTCGTGATGTAAATATGATAACAGATTAGACGATGCAATCAGAGATAATTGTGATTCGATAAGACTTCTTTAAACTTTTTTAACTAATCGATTTCTCCACTGAAAATGGATTTATGAAATTATTTGTTATTGAGCTTCTTTTGAAATTCGACAAAGTCTATAGCGAATCTCAGCGAGACACTGGAAGACGCGAATACGCGACACAATATTTCGAACCGAAATTGTTCAGGTTTGATCGACCGTTTAACGGATCTTTCAACCGTGTGACGTAAGTTGACAATATTTTGACGATCTAACTATTTTTTGGATTGGATACCGCGCGATTCTCTGTGATGATTCGCCAGTCGAAGTTTAGCATGCGGTACTGACCAGCGCAAGATACACGAGAGTTGCTCGATAACTTTTGGGATTCCCGGCAGATTAATTCCTTCGGCGAATCACACAACGCGGACTTGTCGTCGAGATTTGCAAGATCGAGGGACAAGGCGGTTGTCTCTCTTCGTCTCGGTTCGATCGTCTCGCTTAATGGTTTGCTCAAAACTGAGTATTCCCTGATCCCCGAAGGATTTTTTATCCTAGCCGTGAACGTGGGTGGTGTTGCCCCACTTTAACGGGGGCTTGCGCGTGCCGGCACACACGAAGACATGACTAATCGGCCCCCTCTCCTTTTATTCGCATCTTATGCAGCCCCTGGGTGCCGGGGCCGGGGCCGGGGCCGGGGCCGGGGCCGGGGCCCCGAGAAGAGTTTCTTCGGTCGCGCGGCACACGGCGGCGTTCCTCTTCTTCGAGGATGCGCGCCCTCCTCTTTGACGTCAGCTCCTCGTTCCCTCTCGATGAACCTGCCATCTTTTCATCGTCACGAAGCTACCGCCTCTGCTGTCGCTGACTGTTCCCTTAAACATGGATTTAGTATCGCTAGCCAACCTCGGGCATTGACGTCACACTTCGGTGTAATGCCCACCTATAGCGGAAAGAGAAGAGACCGAGTGTCTCGTGCTTCGTGGAATCTCGTGTCCTCAGCAATATCCTCACGTATGGGCACCACGAGGATGACGATGACGATGACGATTACGCGTGACTAGAGTGCGTGAGGGGAGTTATTTCGAAAGTAGGAACGCAACGCCTTTCCCTTTTGACGTTTACACGTGGCACAATTTTCCCGCGCTGACGCTCGCGCCTCGACGATACCACCGCCTTGGCCACGCGAACGCACGCATTTCGAGGGAAAAAACTCCCGGTTATACCATTTACTGTCGATTCTTTTTCCTAAACTCGGCACTTCGTGGGATTACCAGTGAAACACTATGCGGAAGGTGAAGCACCAGGAAGTTGGACCATCTCATTCCCGATTTCGCGGGCCCACATCCCGGATGAAGCTGCGGAAAGGCTTCATTATCTTCATATATCAACGAAAGTTTGAGGAGGTATCGGTATTTTAGACGCTGAGAGCGATATGGGCTTGTCGTTGTCATCGCGACGCGGCTGTCAAAAAATTGAAAGTCGCCACCACCTTACGAAAGCATTTAAGATGACATTTACACGCAAGAACGCTTGCCCCTTCCATGACTCTCCCTCTCTGGAATAACACCGTGCTTACTGTACGTTCGCGTAAACCAGTTGAGGTGGAATCATCGGACACTCTGGCGAGGTATCCGGACGTGCCTTCTTTTTTTTTTTTTTTTAAAGGTCGGAGAACACACATATCGTAAAAGCGCTTAGCATTTTCACTAACTCTTACCATTACCGTTATTTTTTTTTCGTCTACCGTGAATATGTGTGCGCGCGTGAATTTATTTGGACATAAAAATATCTGAAAAATTCGACTAATTTAATCGATCATTACGAGCGAAGATTCGTAATATTAATGGCATTTTCTAATGCAACATAAATACAGCTGTGAAAACATTTTTTTATCTTAGAAAAATATATTTGAAATAATCAAATTTCTATTTTCTTCTTCAGCTATATATATTAAATTTTTTTTCATAATTTATTTGTACTGTTCGTTATTTCTTTTTTATTTGTAAAAATTTCTATTATTTCACTTTTTCTTCATTCAAAATTGAGGTATTAAAGTTATTAAATAATAAGAATACATTAATTTCCTTTTTTCATTTTCGGAGTTTAGTTACAATGCCAGATGGTACCAGAATGTCGGAAAAACAGAGAGAAAGAAGAGCAAGAATAAAGCTGATCCCTGAATTCGTAGATTAGAAATTTAATATCCCAGAATAAATATTAACTTTTTCTAAGTTTGTTTATTTTTTTGCAAGATTGATGTAGAAATTTGTTCTGCAACACTATGTTATGCTAATGTTGTTGTTATTTAAACATGTCTCCGAATTTTTCGACAAATCCTATTTGACCGCAAAAAAATTGATATATTCGTCGACGATATTGCAAAAAATTGCACGAAGGAGATCAACGATGGAACCGGTTTTCTAAACGATTAAAAAAACAAATAAGACATGCATATAGGGTATTTCGACTTTTAATTCTACATATATTTTGACTTTACATTCTATATATACGTAGACACATTCTCTAAGTTTTATTGTCATCAATTTAATTTGCTGCATTAATTTGCATTATAACGCCTACAGATTGTATTATTTTTAAATTTTTGGGGTTTTGGGAAATGGGACGTATGTTTACGCATTTTGTACAATACATAAAACTTTTGATATTTACCTTTATTTCGCGAATATTCAATTTAAAAAAATTCTACAAAACAGATATCAGATGTGTATAAATGAAAGAGATAAAATATCAAATCTGTAAATAACTCACTTCGAAATAACTCCCTTTTTGTTTATATAAATAACTCAGCCGGCAAATCGTTTCTCTTTGGGAAGCTCGCGTGCGTTCCGAATTTAAGAACAGAGTACGTGGCGACCATGCAAGCTCTCCTGATGCATTCGTCCATCGACAGCTGCGGATGATACGCCTTGAAATATGCGAGCGCGCCCAAAAATGCATCCCCGGCACCCTATCGCATACCGTTACACTTAGCTGCCTGAAGCAATTCCGTCTTAAATACGTGCCAATCATTTGAATGAATCACAAATGAATCAGCGTTCCAGTCCAGTCCGGAAATTGACCGGTTGTTCGCTCAAAAGATCGTGAACCGGAAAATCATCAAATACTTTCACCGTTCCAGCCGTGGGAAAGAAATCAATTTACAAGATTTGTATAAGTATAGGAAGTGTACGGGCCGTACGTAAAAATAATGAATCAAAAATGCGCGTTAAATCTAACGAAAACTTACGAAAATGTCTCAGAATTATCGCACATCGAGTTATTAAATAATTGAATTATTAAAACATCCTATGCGTCTTCAAAAGGACGATTACTTCAATTTGAATAATAACTCCAAAAATTTATCATGGAATCTATCTTGATTATGACAATTTTACGATACTGTGCATGCAATACGTACGGTAGTATCTACAGGCTGAACCTCAGTAGTGGGAATTCGAATGATGTTTCTGTTCATCTTCGACGCGTATGCAGCTCCGAGAGGTCCGAGAGTAATGATAATCGCGTTGCATCCCTTAGCTAGAAACTTGTCCGCTACTTGCTGTATATTCGACAGGTTCACAGGTTGAATACCTATCATAATTTCCGCCTACAAAAGTGTAATACAGTCCTTGGTGTATCGCAAGCGTCGTAATGCTTCGCCTCTACTATCTCAGAAAACAAAAGTCCAAATTTGGGGTATACACTGAGAAAAACATGTTTAAACATTTATCTGAAATATATTTATTTTACTAAGATAAATCTTTATTTAAATACATGGCGAAATAAAATTTTTATTACTACAAATAAATCATCTATTTTTTTTTACGATTAATGAGATATATTTCACAGAAACGTATATTTCGATCACAATCAAATTTTTTTTAATTAATAAATATCAGGAGAAATATCGTAAATGACATTTGCTTTATAATATTTCAACGCTTTTCTCTCAGTGTAAAATATCTTATAAGACTAGTAGTCAATTGATTATTATATTTAAAATCGTCTAACAAGTGAAATTAGGCAACTCAGAAATTCAGAAAATTCTAAAACATTTTGTGTATAAAAGTAGAATAGTTAATCCGTATTAAAAATAATACTATTTTTCGTTCGTGCTATATTATGGTTTGTGAGAGGGTAAAATTATCCCTTGAAAAAAATGTAGATTTAACAATTAAATATAAAAATGTAGATTTATTTGACAAAATAACTGCTGAACGCGGTACAGCGACACATTGAAAAAAATGTAAACAAAAATTACATTTCTTTCTTATATCTACAAATTGTATAAGCATAAAAAAATCTGTTTTGTGTTATCCTCATCACCAGTCTTCAAAATTAAGTAAAATCTTTATACTTTGTAAATTTATGTGCAAATACTTCTCCGTAACCTCTTTTTATACATCACGATCGATTTATTCATTGAATTTTTTAATGCTTGTTTGTTCGATCAGTTTTGATTATTAAAATATGGTTTTATAAAGTGTGATATTTAATTGTTAGATATTAATATATATTTCAGGCAGCTTTCAATTATTTAAGCAAAACAGTATATATTTACAACTGCTTGAAAGATAGAACTAATTAATACTAATCCGTGACGTATGAATCATAAAAACAGCAATGTACGCATATATTACTTGAGGTGTTATTTTATTAGATAATTTTACAAATTGTCGATAAACAAGATATTGCACGGAACTCTATTTTAATATTAAATGACGCAGACTTTGCGTCATTTATGATGACTATTGATCATTTGTTACATAAATGACGCAGACTTTGCGTCATTTAATGTTAAAATAGAGTTCCAATATTTTGTTTATCGTGCAATTTGCAAAGTAATCTAGTAAAAATAACATCTCAAGTAATGTATATATCTTGTTGTTGAGACCCATATATATGTACATTGATTAGTTTTGATTATTATACGTTTGATTAGTTTTTATGTTATATCTTTTATGCTGCAGTTATAAGTATTATATACATATCGCTTGTTTAAATTGAAAACTGTCTGAAATGATTTTATAAAGCGATATTAATAATTAAATTTATAAAACTATTTTGATAATCAAAACTGCTAAGAGATAGATTTAAAAAATTTCATGATTTTTTTTTAATAGATGATACATAAATTGATTATAATGTATAAAAAAAAGTAGAGACATATTTTGGCATAAATTTATAATACAAAGTAAATAAAAAAATTCAATTTTAAAGATTAGTGATAAAGGCGATACAAAAATATGAATTGTTCGATATTTAGCCATGCAGCTTTCTAGACACAAAAAAGATATATAATTTTTGTTTAAATTTTTTTCGATATCTTTCGACAGTTATTCTATCAAAAATCTAAATTTTTTTTCAAAAAATAGTTTCCCTTATCCATCCTTATTATAGTATCTATAAACGAAAAATAGTTCTGTCTTATTTTAATAATGCTATTCTACTTGCATTACAATATTTCAAAATATTCTGAATTTTCTTTGTGTTATGTGTATATAGGTATATGTGTGTATACCTCCTTTGCTAAGTATAAGTATAAAAACCAATCACAAAGTCGTATTATAATAACTTTAAGATAAAAACGGACAATAAATATGAATATTGACCTTAAAAAAATTTTTGTTGTCTATATAAAAGACATTCCAATTTTGGACTGTTATTTGGGATAATTGACTCTTTTAAATTGAAAAAAAAAAAGAAAAAGAAAAACCATCCCCTTTAGCGACTGCACTAATCGTTTACGTACCTCCGTCTCATTGACGCAGAAAATGTCACATAATCTAAAGATTTCCGGATCAGGGTTTTCCAGTGCGGGTGCTCCGTTGACAATAGAAAGTCCTATCATCACGTTACGCTTACGTAAAATTGTACCTATAACTCCCTCGGGGCCGGGATATTGTTAATCCTTATCTTTTTTTAGGACTTACAATAACCCGGCTCAAAAAGAGGAAGGTGCAGTGTACGAATATTTTGACATGGAGAAAAAAAAAGTGAGGAACGAACCGTGGCCCCGGTGTAACTTCAACGCATGCAGCGTGGCTTCCAGCGGCACCTCGAACTGGCATAATAAAACGCTCGCGCTTTGGATCACGTCGACGGTGGAATCCAGAAGTTCCGGAGTCAACGATTCGTTTGCACCTAACACGATTACGATGCTGTTCTCACCTGCGAACGTTATTCGGAATGTGCCCCGATTATTTACAAGTGGGACCAAAGAAGTTATCTTAACGAGAAGTTAGAAGTTAGCTCCGTTAGTTCTAATGGTATTAAAGATTTATTCGAAATCGAAGCTGTACTTGACATTTTTCAATGTAAATTGCAATTTCATAGCACTCGGAAAGACTCTGATTTATATTTTTACTATACATCTAAAACGTACCATTTTCAGCGACGGTAATGTGAGCAACACCGCTCTGCTTATCACTTTGTATCTTCACGCGAGATGCGTCTACATTTTCCTTCCTTAAAATCTCTAAATATTCTTGAGCATACGTATCGGAACCTAACTGCGATAAGAGATAAGGAATATCGCAATATGTAATCGTAATTAATTAGAGAGAAATTATATAAACAGTATTGGATAAGAATGAATACTATAAAGCTCACTTTAGATCTATAATTCACAATCAAACGTGGGAAATAATTCTATTTATGATATTGCGTGTAATATAGAAAACAACTGAAGAAGTGAACTCGAGAATAAAATACACACACATATAGAAAATATATATCTCAGTGATATTTATTTTATATTTATACGTATGTCATATAGATTTTAAATGTGTTGTGTATTTTTATATGTATTTTACTTCTTCAAATGTTTTCTATGCTACACGACACGCAATATTATAAATAGAAATCTATTTCTAAATCTGGTCGCCTAAAGTGAACTTAGAAAAACAAAAACTTGACTTTGACTTCATCTAAAAAATAAATGCCTACTGAAGCAATAAGTGCTGTAGATCCACCAAGTTTAGCAGCTGTTACACATTGATTGGCGCCTTTACCACCGTATTTTTTTTCAAATCTAGTCCCGATTATCGTCTCGCCAGGTTTCGGTAACCGTGGAGAGAAACTAAAAAGCAATAAAGAATTATAATACGAAGGGTCAGACCGTTGAGAGAATTAAATTAAGTAAGAGAAATCCTATATTCAATCATAGCGAATTTTAATGCTTAAATATTTTGGTTTGAATTTATATACATATTCAATTTGCAAACGAAATTTTTTCAGTCTTGAAACGCGACTATGAACAAAAATTATGATTAAAGTAGTAACATATCGTATATTAAATTGACAAATGATTTAATAATATTGATGCTAATAAGTACTTTATAAGAAAATATATTAATAATTTTATGTTAATATATAAGTATTTTAAAAACCTTTTAATAATTTTATTGCAAAAAAGTATCTCAGCCAAGATTCGAATCCGGACCGTGAAGAAGTGATAAAATATTACGATACAGAGAGATTGTAACTCTCTATATTTATTATATATATATATTTAATCAGATTTATTGGTTTCAATTAGCCGTATTAAATAGAGAATTATAAATTATTATAAATTCACAATCACAGTAAGGAGAAGCATCTTTCTTTGCGTAATTAGTAATTATATTTATTATCGTAATTGTATACACAATATTTATTATAATACAAATCATAATTTATGTAATTGTAATATTAATAATTAGAGATCGATCGACTACGAGACAGTGTCAACTTTTGCAACGCGTACGAAAAAACTTCGTCCTTACTCACCAGGTAAAGTCAATCATGCACGAACCGACAACGACTATCTTTGGTGTCATACCGCACAGTTCTTAGTCTCTCTTTCGCTTAAACGGTTTTCTCGCGAGCAATCAGCTCTAATTATTAAAATAAATGTTTTATTTTCTCAAACGTGATGCTTTGCAACAATGATTATATTTCTAGGCAGCGACTGACCGCAAGTAGTAGAGCGCACAAATGACTCGCGTTATCGCTGTTTAACGAGTCCGTAAACCAATAATGAGGTGTTATCGCCGTTATCGGTCGAAAGATCATTCTTTGCGCGTGATCCGATGATATGTACCGCGCCTCGTGACGAGACTCCGAGAGGACGAAATAAGAGAAATGCCGCAGACACGTGAATTAATTTAAACCGCCGTCTATTACAAGAATAAAAAAAAAAAAAAGAAGGCTTTATTTACAGCAGCGTTCGCCTTGACGGGGACAGGTTATCTTTCTTTTCTTTTTTACAGTTATCATATATCATATATCAAGACGAAATCACATTTTTGCGAGAGACTATCAAAATCAACTTGCACCGCTAGAGAAGCGTTTAAGTATACTTGACGATCGTTATAAATCTCGCGATGGAAAAAAACAGCGCGCCTACGTGATCACCCACGTATGTACGCACGTTTTGGAACATCTTCACATCGCCATGTATTATCGAGAACGATAGATGGGCAGCCTGGAGTAACGAGTTACGTTGCGGTAAGTATTTTGTCCGCGCATTGGCATATTCAGTACTGTAACCGTTCACGAAGCGTTCAGTGAGCTCTTGCACTTGATAGGCATATTCCGTTAGATCTAAAAATATAAACCAAACAGGTGCAAGAGCTCATTGAGCTCAGTGAACGACGATGAACGATTATAGTATTGAATAGCGAATACCCATTGTGCACATGAGAGTTTAGCTGTTCAAGTATATATATGTGCTAAAGCAATATAGCGAAATTACAATTACTTAATAGTAATTATATTGCATGTGTTTTATTGCACAATTTTTAAATTTTAGAACTGTTGTGTATTAAAAAAAAAAAAAATGCAAACTCGAGTAGTAGGCAATTCGATTAATCGTAATCCATACTTTTTTAAAAAAACCTCAATTACAATGCATAACTAAATGCATTTAAAAAATTATCCAATCGTGTAAGTTTTGTTAAAGACTTCTTTACATATAAGTCTGTGCAGCTATATAAATAGCGTATTCGATTTACTGACTTGACCCGATTCCGAATCAACGGCCTGTTCTGTTTAGCTCCAAAAGACGACCTAAACTATGCAAAAACAGACATCTTTATGAGGCATATTTAGGCTACGTTCGAAATTGACGTTTACCGGCTCACGTGCGGTAACTTCATTCTATTCTATTTTCTTTTTATGAGTAATAAGTAATAAAAATAGAACAAATAATGACTTAACTTAGAGTGTGTGTGTGTGTGAGCGTCAATTTCAAATTCAAATCGGTATTCATAGTCAGTTCTTATATTCAAGACCATCTTAAGTTCAGTTTTAAAGTGTCATGAACCAATCAGACAGCTGCATTAACATCTTAAGACATACTTAAGACGGTCTTAAAATAAGAACTGAATACCGCTCTCAGACCTAACAAAATTATTCCATTAAGGATCGATTGTTTCATCTTTTGGTAAAGTTTACCTGTTAGGTAAGTAGCAAGATTACCCAATCACGTGCGCGGATTCCCAGATTTACCTGGAAGATGATTGGTTGAATCTAAATATGGTAAGAACCAATCATCTTCAATTGCTATTCACCCAGCGTTTGCGCGATAGGATATTCATCTGCACCTACCTTTAGTAAGGCCGGTATTCATAATCAGTTCTTATATTCAAGACTGTCTTAAGGTTTTGAGGTCTCACAAACCAATCAAAAGGCTGCGTTAGCGTCTTAAAACATTGCTTAAGATGGTTTTGAAATAAGAATCGACTATGAATACCGGCCTATGAGTCTAAACGTAAAAACCACATTGTACATTCACTATTTCTTTCTTTTTGTTCTATCTTTTACTGGCTTTTTTCAGAAGTTGTTAAAACACGGCGGACCAATAAAATGTGGCTGTTTCGTGTCCAAAATCTCTTATTAGAGAGTCTCTGCTCTTTAGATACACCAAATAGCTGCATTTAATAGACTCAGCGTTCATGTTATTAACTGCAGATGTAAATGACTTGAGGCAGTATATAGGTAACGCAGTATAGGACAGTATATAGGTAACTTAGGACAGCACTTTTGTTAAATTCGCAGTCATTGTATCCAGACTCGTGGATGGATTGAAATGAACAAGATTCTAATAATTATCTACATTGTCCAAGTCACCTATATTTACGGTATTCTTCATCCAACTAAACATTTAAATCTAGATTGCATCAATAGCTATCGTTCACTCAGCTATTAATTTCACTAAACGCGCTCCAATTGTCCTATGATGTAAAAAAGAAACATGTATCATATTTCTTGTAAATGCGCAGTAAGAGAATGAATTTCTAGTCAAATTTGATTGGTTGTTTCAATATATTAGCGCTATTATACGCAGAAAAATGCATTTTGGGGCAAATTTGATTGATGGTTTCTAGTATTGCTATTGTCGTTATATGCGTAAAATGTTACACATTTCTAATTTTTATTGTATTTTACACTTTTTACATTTTCTTTGATGCGTTAAAAATAAATTAATATATATATATATATATATACAGATTCATTATAACGTTATATTTTTTTCGCGTAAACTTCTTCACGAAAAAAATATAAGCAATCATATATCCGTTGCAGAAATATATATCAATCAAATATATCAATTGTGTTCAGCAAAAAAAAGCTTCGCACAATTGTATAATTTTTTCAATATAATTAGTCCTTGCCCTTATTCATTCACAAATCTAAATATAGTATAAACAAATCATATTAAAGTCATTTTACAACAATTATATTCAGTCGAAATGGCGCGATACACACGCCATTTTGGCCTCGAACGATTATATAATTTGGGCTGCCTTCTATTTATGTGACACTTGACACAAGTATCATTCTGCGCCTTTATCTTATACTCATTCGGAATGCAAAGAAAAAATAGAACTACATTTGTGTCGATTACAGCCATATATAGTCTATGATTACAGCACACCTGTTTATACAAAACTTTCTGAATAGCTTTTGCAATAAGATCGCGAACTTGACCTAAAAATTGACGTTTTCAGTATTTCGAGTGAAGATTTGCATGCAGTTTCAAATAACTGATTGACACGCACAGACAATTTCGCACACAAAGAATATACTTGAATAATTGCTTTTTTCTTTTCCAAACAAACGTCTGCAGATGCTAGTATAGTGCGTCATTCCAATTATTCGTCGCTCTCGATCACTCGAAGGATAAACATTTATTGCGAAATCAATCAGAAATCGATGAATACCACGACGTTATTTAAATAGCTATGGGTAATTTATTGTTGGCAGGTTTGTGTCTAAGTGGTTTCTATCTAATTTATTTCAGAAGAGCCGAAAATCGTTTTTACGTATCAATGTACCATATTTACCCTCTGTCTGCAATCTGATGTGTTTCTTTCACTGTTTGTTTTTGACGCAAGAAAAATAATTTTACTCTCAAATTTCTTCGAAATAAAAATAAGAAGAAGGATAGAGAGTCTAGTTTCCTATCATAAACGTTAAAAATTACTTGATGATGTAAAAATGATGATAAAAAAAGTAATTCTGAATTGTTCCATATTTTTTAAAAGCCTAGAACAGTAAAACAAAACTTGAACTAAACGGAGAAAATTTAAAATATTTGGGTTAAAAAAATGTATATGATTGCAGAAAAAGGGTTAAAATTCGATTTCGATTCGCGTAATCAAATTTATTATTATCGTAATAGATAAAAACACTGAATTATCAATGATTATCTGGGTCAACGAATTTAAATTTAACCAAAATAGAAATTGTGTTAGTAATTGAATTGAATTGAATATTTACGCGAATGCGCATTTGACGCTATTACCCCTCTCTCTCCTTTCTTCTCTTCCTTATAAATCCCCACCCTTTCACTGTAAAGAACTCGATATAGTCGATATAAAGCGAGGAGGAGTCACATATCTTTGATTTTTCTTTCTCTCTCTCTCCTTCGCGCTGTGTTCTATACGCTTTTTACGAAACTATTACACAATTGCTCGAACTTGTTCCAGGCCGTCCAAAAAAGCGACAGAACATGACGAGCCCGGTTGTGATTTCAGCCACAGCTAAGCATACAGCAACGGTAGATATCAAGATATCCTTTTCGAGGATGTAGCGGCAGTTTTTGGTTATATCATTTGCGGTGGTGGTGCGATCCTAATTGGTCATAAATGAATTACATTTACGCGAGGTACTCTCGTTGAGCCCTTTTTTTTTTCTCTCTTTCTGGCACGATTGTTCAACGAATGCACCGCTGCTCCGTTTCATTGCTCGCGAATCGATTTCGTGGAGTCGGCTTTTTTACGACTGCATGTCTCTTCCGTGAGGTATGACGGTTGTCGCCTTAACGGATACAAAACACTTAATGTAACTTCTTCGAGAACGCAATATGCTGTCGCTGGTCTACTACTATCTTCACTATTTAACAACCTTTCAATAAAGTTACGCGTAACACAACTTGTTTCGAAACACAGATTTTAAGTCTGAAATTTTCATTCTTTTCAAAGATTATTTCCAAATAAAGTCAATACTACCTTATTTCGTACTAAAGAGCTTCTATGTTTCAGTTAATATTTTTCCATGGTTTGGGTGATACAGGGTAAGTTCATGTTTCCAATACATGTTTTGTAGTTTGGAACGTTACAAAATGACAGATCTTAGTAACATTCTACATATGTTGTTTTCAGACATGGTTGGGCCAGTTCCATGGGTGCGGTGCGATCTCCTCATGTTAAAGTTATTTGTCCTACTGCGTATGTTACTATCTTTAAATGTTAAATCTACGATTGAAATTATGGCCTTTACTCCATAACTCTTAATAACAAAGTCGTTACATTGTTATTATGCAACTTTTTTTAAGCGCATGTATAAAACTTGTGTAACCAACACTATTCTAAGCCACCTACATTCCAAAACGTCTTCTCCGGAGAAAATTTTACTCGAAATATATATAGTATAAATATAGTACATGTAATATATACTATATTATATCAAGTAGAATTTTTCTCTGAAAAGTTTTGGAATGTAGATGGTTTATGCCAATCGTTTTATATTTGTACCAATCGTAGCAACTTTCAGTTAAATTATATTAATTTTAGCGATGCATACAAATGAATACACAATACATGTATTATATTTAACTGATCATCTTGATTGTACCATCTTAGAATACTATTCTTTGAATGTACCATCAAAATTAAGATAATTTAATAGAAAGTTAGTAATTGATACAAATGTTAAATGATAGGTGTAAACTAGGCCACTCGTGTAAACTAGGTTAAGAGTTTAAAATAGGAGCCTATGTAAATTAATAGTATTTTAATATATAATGTTTTATCATTTCAGGCCCACAATGCCAGTAACACTTAATGCAGGGTTCAGAATGCCTTCCTGGTAACTTGAAAATGAACATAAGAATATATTCTAATGAAAACAATGAATTAAATGTTACGAGTTTATATGATTATTAATACATTCTGTGAATCTAGGTTTGATCTACGTACTCTGGACTCCAGTGGTCCAGAAGATGAAGAAGGTATACGTAAGGCCGCTGAAACAGTCCACTCATTAATAGCGGAGGAAGTTGCAGCTGGGATACCTACCACACACATTGTTCTAGGAGGATTCAGTCAAGGTGGAGCACTAGCCATGTACAGTGCCCTTACATTCCCAGAGCCTTTAGCTGGCATTATAGCTTTATCCGCCTGGCTTCCTTTACATCAAAAATTTCCAGCAGTACGTACCATTTTGTAATACTTTTATGTGTATCATACGTAAAATATTTATAGAATTGTAATTGTAACATCAATTTTTATCTTCAGGAAGCAATAGGTAATAGGAACACTCCACTGCTGCAATGTCACGGTGATTGCGATCCAATTGTGCCATACAGATGGGGTCAAATGACAGCATCTCTTTTAAAACAATTTATGACACAGACAGAATTCAAAACGTACCGAGGAATGATGCATACATCCTCTGAAGAGGTAATGAAGTTTAAATTGAGAAAAAGATTCGTTGAATCTTTCCTTACATTTAGAGAAATTATAATATTTATCTTCTTTTTATTATTTTTACAGGAAATGCGCGACATAAAGAAATTCATCGAAAAGGTTCTGAAACCGTAATAAATCAAATTAATACTTACTGATATTTTATCGGCTACTTCAAGTATCTAAATGTACATTATATTGAAATAATTCCAATTTTGCGATTATTTAATTTTAGTAAATTATATGAACTTTAAAGACGTCAAGTAGAATATCATTGAAAATCTTCCAAGCATTGAAATGCAATGCTATATAAGAAAAGTATACTTTCCTATAGAGGACTATATTTATTTACAACCTTTAATTTGTATTTATATATTCAAGCTTCTTGATATTTTAATGTACCAAAGCATTCATATAGCAATATTACTAAATTAATCTACACAGTTTAATTCTTTTAGTATCTAAAATTGGCATTCCTTGTTTTTTTTTTATATTTATAATATGTATGTGTATGTATATACATATACATACATATCTATACATTAAATGTACATATATATTTACTATATCTATATATTAGATATGTATGTAAATATGTATGTATCATAAAACTACATTGTATTAATTTATATATATAAGGCCACTAGTGTGGTAATAACTAATACATTATTTAAAGATAGCATGACAAGGTGACTCATGTTTATTCATTTTGCGGTTTACATCTGCGACAATAGTAAATTTACAAGTACACTTATGTTAGATTTAAGGTAATGCTAAATTATGCTAGATAAAGAGCTTTTTGCGTCAGCTCTTGTATCGATAACTTCCAACTTTTTCGCGCCTAAATTGCGTTTCGGATAATTTTTATTTGGATACAAACGAAACACGTCCAAGAAATACTTAAATAATTCGCGCATTTCAGCAACTGCGAGCTTTTTACAGTCAAATTTCTATTTTACGCGATGCTCGCAACGTAACATGAAATGTTGCTACTAATAAAATCACTTTTGTAGCGAGTATTGTCTAGAAGACAGTGACACGGCCATGTAATCTGTGATTACGCATTGTATTGTCGAAACCCATCAATCCATCATCTATTATCAATATACATCAGGGTTTCCTAAACTATTTTAAGACGTGTTTCTAATGTTTCTATGTAAAATCTTATGCGGATTATTTAAGGAAATATATAAATAAGAATAATATAATGATGTGCAATTTACAAACACATTTCAGTACAACACAGCTTCAGTAGAACCGCACGAAGCAATATATTCTTTCAATATTTTTGTTATTAATTGTCTCTATGCGAGAAAAATCTTCGAAAAATAAAGAGATCGATCCTTATACATATATGTACTTCAAGTTTAGGAAATCCTGTGATATGTCACAAAATAGCATATAGATACAGTATTTAAAATATAATGTAAAATTATACCAAAATGTATATAAAATTATATAATACTCGGCTAATTTTATTATTATTAACACGTTATCCAGTAGTTAAATAACTAGTAAAGAAAGAACAATAAGCTCCAAGTATTTTTCATGAATTTTCTTTACCAACTTACACTACTATATAGCTAGCAACAGGTAGAATATTAATTCGTAAGTTATGTAATAACTTCTGCCAGAGTATAAATAAAATGTAAACATGCAAAAAACTTTTTTATTACGTAATTATAATACTCATACTAATATCTATAAACACAATGTGTATATATGCAAAAATAATATGTTCATGAAACGTGCTATCACGCGCTATCAGTGCTATTGTATAATTCTATCTTTGTTTAAAACATATATAATAAATGCTAAAAAGATAGAACACAATAGCGCGCTTTCTGAATATAATCAAAGTATAATTTTTCATTATAAGTATCTAGAAGAGTATCCACTCTCTTATTAATAGACATAGTGGAATTAGAATTTTCTAATTTTACCATGTTAACAGATACTATAATCCGAGATTATTGATGTCATACTATGAATTACTTTTTCAGTTTACTTTTGAAACTTGTTTTAGACTGAGTGTTGCATCATCCAAAGTGAACTTTAATCGCATTGACTTTGAATAGTATTACGTATAATACATGTATAGGCAAAGTTAACCCTGAGGCTTAAAACCAATAAAGAAATAAGAGAAGTGTATCTCTTAAGCTCTATAGTAAATAATTTTCTGAAAAGCTACCGACAATTTGTATTTTTACTTTATAGTAATTAAACGGAGTTTTAAGTTTTTTTAAAATTTTTTCTATCATATCATTATATAAGTGGAGAATCAGGTGAGCAGTACTAAGCAGTACCAAGTAAGGTTATACATTCGACTAATCGTGCAGATTCCAAATTGTGTTAAAAAAACGTTTCAGTATGACGCATGTAAATTCATTTATTCTAAGTACTGTGGAAAATGGAATTCTAAAAGTGGTGCTTAATAAACCAACCAGAAAAAACGCACTTTCACCTCAGGTACACAGAGAATACTTGACAGCATTAATTTCTTGTGGACCGATAACTCCGTTTGGAGTCATTTCCTTTTATTTTATAAAATGCTCGTTCAAATTTATAAAATTTGAGCTAGAAAATAATATGATAATTTATATTTTATAACATATTAAATCTTGTAGGACCGTGAGAATTAAAAGCAATAATATGAGAAACAAGCTGTAACTGTTAAGCTGGATCTTAGGTGCTTCTAGAATTGTGTGTGAATTTACATACTATGTATGTAAATTTTTAACTGCGCGCTGAATTTTTGTCAGATTTGAAACGCAATCTCTACTGAACTACTGCAGTAATGTCACGAATTACATTAACAATTTAACAATTTTTTAATTGTTTTTACGCATCTTAGATCAATTTTAATAATGTTGAATGATATTAAAATCTGTAAATAATTAATTCCTATTATGAAAATATTACCTCGGCCGAGAGTCAAACCCGGAATTTTTGCATTCCGTGCGAGTTTTCTAAGCCTTTAAATTATCGACAGCCTCGATAGAGCTTGTGTATCAAGTTTGAAAAAAAATCAGCACGCACAGTTAAACATCTACATACATAGTATGTAAATTCACGCACAATTAAAAGCACCCAAGATCCAGCTCGACTGTTACGGTGGTTTTGTTTCTCATATCATTGGTTTTTATTTTTAGTTTATTTAAAAAATGATAAACAAATAATCGCAATTTCCTATCTGTTTTTTTTTATAGATGTATAAAGAATTAAAAATGCTTTTAAATGAATCTGCTGAAAACAATAAAGTATTGATATTTGTACTGACAGCAAATGGAGATTTTTTCAGCAGTGGCAATGACATAGGTGCCTCAATGGAATCTCCATTGGTTTCTATTGATATAGTTAAGTAAGTATCGTAAGAACCATTAAAAATTTATACTTCTGAAAATATAAAATTGACAAATGTATTTTGTAGGGAATTAATTGATAGTATAATTACATACCCAAAACTTTTAATAGCTGTTGTGAACGGACCAGCAATAGGAATAGCAACTACAATATTAGGAATTTTTGATATAGTTTATGCTTCAGATAAGGTGCCAATTCAATGATAATATTTAATATGAAAATGTTTTAAACATTATAACTATACTTGAATGTATTATATAAATTACAGGCGTATTTTCAAACACCGTTCAGCTCTTTGGGTCTTGTTGCTGAAGGATGTTCTTCATATACATTCCCAAGATTACTAGGATACTCCAAAGTATTTTATTAGAAGTTAAAATATGCACAAATTATTTTTATGATTTGCATCTAAATTTTGCTTTTTATAATTTAAAATTATGATATTTTACATTAGAAAAATATTTATTTAGGCTGGAGATATGTTGTATTTAGGATACAAAATGAATGCTCGAGAAGCCAAACAACATGGCTTGGTTAGCAAAGTGTATAATCATGACTCTCTTGAGGAAGTATGGAATTATTTGAACAAGATATCGACACTTTCTTCACAGGTATTATTCTTGCTTAATGTTTTTGCGAAATTAACTGGTTTTGATATATACTTAAATGTGCCACTAAATTATACTAATGAAAATTAATCGATTAATTTCAGTCAATATTGGCGACTAAGCGATTAGTGAGTAGATGGAACAAAGAAATTTTATTAAAAGTTAACGAAGAAGAAATAAAAGAGTTGAAAAAACTATTCGATTCTCCTGAGTTAATGCAAAGGTTATTGAATTTTTTATCACGAAAAAATAAGCTTTAAAATAACTAAAATATTTTATATTTTTTTAATAAACAGCAAAAATTATTGTATTTAATATCTCAAATATTCACAATGTTACTGTATAAAATATATAATTTTATATATCAACTCTGTTTTTTTATAACGTATGATTTATATAATTTTTTATTTAATTAAATTTTTTTACATTGTAGAATTTTTAAATATGAATGTTATATTATCACTTACTTCTGTTAACATAATATCCTGTAAAATAAATGTATATTACATCATTGAATCTTAATTTTTAATAGTTTTTTAAAAGTTGAACAGCTTATTACCTGCATAATATCTGATGGAATTGGTTGCTTATAATGCTGCCAATCTCGAAGCTGATTTATAGTTAAATTTTGTTGAGATGGTTTCTCACACAATATAAATTGACAATCTCGTGTTTCATTATTTTTTTCTTTTGGATCTTCGGAAAGTATATGTTCATTCTTACCAGAACAACAACAATTCATTAAATCATGTGTTAATGAAATTGTATCACTTGCCAACGTAAATAAATTCTACAAATGAAAAATATTTTAAATAATGATTTTTATAGTACTTTTTCATGATTATCAAAATCTTTTTACAGTAAAAAATACCTTTAGATCTGCAGTAGATAATTTTAGAGATCCAACATGATTCAGATCCACTACAATCTCACTCAAATTGGCTTTGCTAATTTGTCTTTGATATATTTTTTCTTCTATCGTACCTGTAGTTAATAATCTACAAATTTGTTTATACAAAATTATATATGTATACTTCCATTAAATAATACATTATCATGTAATGTGATATTAAACTTGTACAAACCTATAAATATAAACATTCCTCTTTTGTCCATCTCTCCAGATCCTTGCCATTGCTTGCACATCAGATGCAGGATTCCAATCAGAATCAAATAACACAAGTCTAGATGCTCCAGGTAAATTTAAACCAATACCACCCGCTTTTGCACTTAACAATAGAACTTCTGTAAAAAATTATTTTTTCTGTAATGCATCAGTTTTAATTCATAAAAGTAAGAGATACAATTTTGTTTGTTTATTTTTGTAGAACTTACTGCTATCATCGGTTTGCATATTAAATTTTTCGGTAATTTTTAATCGTACAGAGCTTGAAGTAGCACCATCTAATCTTAAAAATTTTAATCTTTCCATGTCGCATATAGTTTCAAGAAGATCAAGAGTTTGCGTATAATAGGAGACTAACACCAACTTCTCATCAGTCTTTTTCAAATTTCTCATTAATGTCTGTACAATTGTGATTTTTCCACAATACTCAGTAAAATTATCATCTCGTTTTATTTGCGACATATACGGTGATTTTGACAAAACGTCATATATAGCTTTCTCTTCTTCGTTTAGGAACAAATTTGGATGGTTGCAAATTTTTTTAAGAGCAGTAATGATAGACAAATGTATATTGCTTTTATCTTCTAGACAAATTTTGTTGAACCAAACATCAGTAACAAGAGAATATAAATCTTTTTGTTTCTTGGATAAAGAACAAAATAGGACCATTTCATATTTATGTGGTAGATACTTGTTTATCGTTTTTTGTGTACGCCTTAAAATAAAAGATTTGGTGCGCTTGTATAATTCTACAGATCTTTCATTTCCTAGACTGAGAACATCATCATCAGCAGAAGAACATTGCGCTGCGACAATAGGATCCTCGTAATAATTCTTGTATTCAATAGAAGTACCAAGAATGCCAGGATTAACAAAATCGATCAGTGCATAAAATTCTTTTAAATCATTCTGAATAGGTGTACCCGTTAAAATAATTCGTTTTTTACAACTTATCTCATTTAACATCTGCGAAATACATAAAATAACAAATATTTACGTTTGTATTAATAATAAATTATAATATTAATAAAATAGATAATTACTTTTGCTGCTTTTACATTGCTATTTTTTAATCTGTGACCTTCATCACACACAATCAAATCAAAAGCGATTTCATTAATTTCTATATGACATTTAACGAACATTTCGTAACTAATAATCATGACTGAATTTCTTGGATATTTCATAAAATCTTTAGGTTTATTTTTTCCATCTATAACATATGGAAATATCCTGTGACAGCCCAACCATTTCACGAATTCTTTTTCCCAATTTTTGCATAAGCTACTAGGTGTTACTATTAATACGCGTTTCACAATCGGTTTGCCATATGGGCCTTTCTTCAACATTGTCCAAATTAATGCAATACATTGTAAGGTTTTACCAAGACCCATTTCATCAGCCAAGATTGCACCAAAATAATTTGGTACTTTTAGTCCCATTAGACATTCATAAAGAAACACAATTCCATGGCGTTGATGTTCTCTAAGTTTTGCAGCTAAACAGAAATCAACCAAAATTTCCTGTTCTTTTTTCATTGATTCAATAGAATTCAAATAAGGCATCACTAAAGGCTCACTATTTAATGCTTTATAACATAAATATATTTAAATGCATATTTACATTTAAATCAATAATTATAATTGATAATTAATAATTGTTATAAATTCGTACCTTTTGTGGATGAAAGCAAGGGCATAAATGCATGTGTAGACGTTTTAGACTTGTTTTTTGATAGTTCTTCTACTGTTTCCTCAAGACTCTTCTCTGGTACAAACAATTCTTGTGATACTTGCTCTATAATCTAAAATAAACCTTTTTAATTGTTTTGTCAATAACAATGTACACAAATAAGGATAAATATAAATTTTTACCTCTACTTGTTTGTTCCCTATAATTAATCTGAATCCTTCTACTGCATTACTTGGATTAATTGTAGTTCTTCCAATGATATTACCATCCAAATTCTATTATATTAGAAATTCTATAATAATCTTTAAATTATAAGATATCCAATTGATGCAATAATTACCTTAAGAATAGCACTTTTCCCAACAATTTCCAGCAAACCGTCACTATCCCATGTTTTATGTTTTTTTGAAGTTACTTTGCCAAACATCACGTTGAATTTGCTGTATTAATATTCATTTATAGCACCAAAGATAAAAATCAATTATTTAAAATTTACTTTTAAAATAGTTACGTTTTAGTTTTTGCCTTAGGTGAATTTTCAGTTGATACTTTTTTCTCAAAAGCTGTAGCATTTTCATCTTTCTTTGGTGACTGAAATGCATATGTAGCAACTGTTTTAAGTTTTTTTTGCAATGGTTTCTCTACTTCAGGACTCTTCTGTAATACGGATTGTTCTGTCGACACTTTATCTATAATCTAAAATTAACCTTGTTAGTTTTCCTGCAAATATTGCAAATAAACATTAATACGAGTCTTACCTCTACTTGTTTGTTTCCTATAATTAATTTGGAACCTTCTGCCATATCATTTAGACTGATGGTAGTTCTTCCTATAATATTACCATCCAAGTCCTACAATCAGAAGCATTAATAAACAATTGCATTTTAATAAATAAAGTGTTAATAAATAATATAATTATGTCAATTAATGCAATTATTTAATGATTAAAGGTTTACAGAGGATGTTCTGAATCACCTTAAGAATTGCACTTTTCCCAGTTACTTCAAGTAAACCGTCATCATCCCATGTTTTGTGTTTTTTTGAAGTTATCTTGCCATACACTACGTTAAAAACACTGTAAGAAATATTGATATTTTTTATAAGAAAAAATTAAGATAGATCTATTCTAATGTTTACTCTAAAAGAAGCTATACTTACATTTTTACTGCCGTTTGGGACAAATCAATGATCGATATTTTTTTCTCGCATATCGGAGAATTGGCATTTCGTTTCCTCGATGAATTATTCTCCACGTCGCACTCGACTTCATCTTTTTGAGTTACCTTTTGGAACAAAAGCAACACTTGAGAATTGTTCCGGACAGGCTTTTTCACTAAATCACTCGGTGTTTTTTCCTGACACGCAGATATCTCGTTTCCATCACTTTCCTCAGTGCTCGTTTGTTGTTGAACAATCAAAGGGGATATGAATCCCTTCATAGGTTTGTTTCGATACATGAATATTAATATTGAAACTGTAATTGAAATTAACAGAAATCTGGTGATGTTAGTACTCGTCCGAAAGGCGCGAAATCGTACAATTAAACTATAGATGGCGGTCGACTGGAATTACCAACTGCAAAATGGTGGTTATATTTTTATCAATTTTCATGATCTAATTTCACCATGATTATTTGTCAGATGTTGGCAATCCGTCGATATTTTGTGGAATGCAAAATTTAATTAAAAAAAAAATATTATCAATTAAACGGAAAGGAAGACTACTAGAAATAATCGCTATTTTAAGAGAAAAAATTTATAGAATTTTGAATTAGTTAAATCTATTGCAAGTGTGTCAATCTCTGAAATTTTTATTCTCAAAGTAGGTAAAAGAGGTGATGCAAGTCAAAATTTAAAACATATCAACTTTTTATATTTTTTATTTTATGTAAAAATATGTAGCTGATATATAAGATTTACAGTTTAATGCTGGATCCGAACAATGCCAGTAATCAAAGATCTTTTAATTATTAGATAGAGCTATTTTTGGTTCCTTCCACTTGACGCCTTAAAGAAACATACATACATATATAATAAATTCGCTGAGATTTGCTAGTAATGACAATAACTGCAACATTAGAAATGTTAAAACAAAGCCAAATTATTTTGCTATTCTTCGGTTTATCAGAATGCAATTGGGTTTTTCAGTATTCTATGAGCAAAATTTTAGAAGCCAAATATATTTTGTTGTTCTTTATTTATTGGGATGTTAAATTCGTATGGTTCTGTAATAAAACAATTTTTTATATTCTAGTATCTAGTTTAAAAAAAATTGATAATTATATTCAATAGAGCAGTTTTATTTTTAAGAAAAAATAAGTTCTATTTTTTTAATTATAATTTTTATCGGAATTATGAGCAGTGTAAGTCAAAACGCTTTTTTATTTAAAATGTGAGTAACTCGGTAACCAAAAATCACAAGATCATTTTTTAAAAATAAATTTTGGTGAAAAACTTTAAGCCTTTACATCAAATACTTAAAAATACTTACAAAAGTAAAGATTTCAAGCTTTAAAACTCCTTTTTTAAATTTAAATTTCATTCATTTTTCATGAAAATATTGTATGTGCAATTTTAAGCTAACAAAAAACCGAATTTATGTAATAACTTAATATATAGCTATAATAATAAGTTTATAATAATCTTATACATCTAAAAATCTAAACAGACTCTTTTACTTATTATATCAAACGTATAAACTGTACAATAATACCTATAATATAATAATTATTAACTATGCATTATAACTAAATGCTATCTATCATTCATGCGTGTAAAAAACGCCTGGATAATCATTATCTGCTGAATTGCCGATTATCTTGCCTACGTTTGCCTACTTGGCGGAAGGTCTTGGTGCGCTTCACTTGCTTTGCCGAATTTGGATTGTTTATGTCTTTGAAGTGTCCATAACCACCTCCACCAAGCCTTTTTCGTGGTCGTGAAGCCTTACTGATTCCTACTTCTATAATGTACAATAAAAAAATTAAATTATAATTAAATTTTTTTAATATTTTTGATAAATTAACGTTTATAAAAAAAATAATCCAAACGTTAAAGAAATATTAAAAACTAATTTTGATCAATTCAAATATAACTAAGAACAAAAAAATATTTTAAAAAACTAAATTATTTCATTGTTACGAATTATTAACAATTTCCAATGAGAGAAATTAAGACTTAAAGACAAACTTATAAAAGAAAGTATCCTTGCGCTTAATGTTAAAAACTATTATTAAAAGAACTTACTCAAGTCTACCGCTGGTGGTACAGCAAATCCGAATGATTTGGCGACTTTTGCCAAATCTAAGGTCTCTATATCAAAAACATGTTTCAAGTGATGAGAATCATATGCTCTAACATAATTCTTAAATGCTTCTTTTGCTGACTGATGTAAGAAATAATTCTTCGAAAGCAACTTCTCAAGCTAAAAAAGAAAGATAATATTTTATATCACCCCTAGAAAATGTAGATAAATTTGTTAAATTGATAGAATTAGTAGTTTTGATTTCTCTAATAAAATACATGATATAAATTTTGTTTATAAATTTGAGATTTTTTGAATTTTATATAAAAAACATAAGCTAAAGTCTAGAAAATAATTTCGAAAACAAACTAAAAAGAGATTATAATATATTGCTTACTTGCAATTGTATATCAGCAATTTTATTCCAAGAGAATTCATATTCATTCACAGGTACACGGGCTATTTTAAGATAACGAAGAAAACCAAGTTCCTCTGGCCGCAATATCAGTAAAGCATGACCGCTGCTGCCTTCTCCGCGAGCAGTTCGACCTACGCGATGAATATATTCCTAAAAGTTAGAAAATTACATATTACAAATCCGCGTATCCATTAATAGTTAATCTAAGTTGTTAAAGGTTACTATCTGAGTAATATACAAGGCAAAATCATATTTCTTACCTTAGGATCGTCTGGTGGATCAAACTGCACGATCCAATCAACGTCCGGTATATCTAGACCTCTTGCGGCCACATCAGTGCAAAGTAAAGTCCCAGAAGAAGCGTTGCAAAATTGATAAAAAGTTGTGGTTCTTTTTGTTTGTTTCTGTTTACCCTGTGAATGAAAATGCGAATATTAAGTCAGAAAAAATCTTGTTATCAATATAGAAAACAGTATAAAGAAAAAAATTTTATAACTTACATGAATACTCATTACTGGCAAATCAATATAATTCAAGAGTTCATGATGATATTTAACAGACATGCAAGAACTAAAGAAAACCATTATTTTCTTTTGTTTGTTTTTCTTTAAGAAAGTAAACAGAAGTAAAAATCTTTTCTCGCTTGGACACGATACGTATCCTTGTTGTAAACCCTCCACAGTTGCCATTTCCTTGTCATCGTCGACCCCCACATATATAGGTTCTTTTTTAAGAGCCAGCGTTGTTATCGTCGCTACTTTCTGTGTTTGTGTCGCACTGAAAAGCATAGTCTGTCGGCGCTCTGCAATAATAATTCATATAGTAATAAGAAAAAAATATAAAACTAATTAAACTCGAACATTAAAGTTAAACTATATATATGCAGGATATTACTGGGAAGAATGTTAATGATTTGTTTCAATTCTTCTTCGTAACCGATGTCTAAAATACGATCGGCCTCGTCAATAATTAAACACTGGAGATTTTTGTATAAGAAATCAGGTGTGTTTTGCAAATGATCTAATAATCGCCCCGGTGTTGCCACAATAATGTTGATTCCCTTTCCAAGTTTTTGTGCTTCGGTTTGCCTACTAGCACCACCCATTAATAGACCGTACGTGTGATAATGATATTTCATCAATTCTTTCAAAACTCCAAAAGTTTGCATAGCTAATTCTCTTGTAGGTGACATAATAATACATCCAGTACCTGCAAATATGTATTTATTATATCTCATTCCTATTAATTTTATGTAATTAGAATATTAAAATAAAAACAGTTTTACTGTATTATGATAATTCTACAATGTGCTCTTTGTTTCCTGTTTCTTACTGAAGTCTCCTTGCCTTTTGATTAAAAAAGCAAGAGTAGGTAAGAGAAGGTACAGCAAAAAAAACAGAAATATATCAAAGAGCACATTGTAGAATTACCATTACTGATTTTTCTATACATTTATTTTCGTGTTATTCAGGGATAAGAAAGTAATGTTATAATATTAAATGTATATTAAATATCACTTTTACACTGTTAAATATGTATATGTATTCTGTTATCAGTTTACATGCATTAAAATGAAACAAATAATATTCATGAACAACTAATATATAATGTATAGTCATAAAAGTGATTACTATATAAATATTTTATTTTATATTAGACTAAATCTATAAGAGTTATTCATAAAATAAAAACTTTCAGAATGCTTGTCTGGTACAGATTACAGCCATCGAGATTACATACCATTACGAGGCATAAACTTCAATTTGAAAATCAATTCAACAGCAGGAATCAAAAATGCCAAAGTTTTTCCAGATCCAGTTTTGGCAGCACCAACCAAATCTCTCCCTTCCAAAAGAGGAGGAATAGCTTTTGCTTGTATCTCAGTCATATTTGTAAAACCCATATCTTTTATTGCTTTTAATGTATTCTCACATACTATCTCAGTTAATACCGAGAAGCTTGTATCATTTATCACTTCAAGACCTATAGCTGTCCCAGGTACTAGACAAAATATATATCAATATTATTAGCAAATATCATTCAACAATTAGAGCTGCATAGAAATACATACAATTTTCAGTAGAAGATTTGTCTGTTATATCAGACTTTTTATTTTCTTCAGATGTTTTTAACTTTCTTTTTTCTAAAAAAAAATAAAGTTTTTATTGAAAATTATATAAATAATAAAATAGAAAATAAAAATAATAATTAAAAATCATTAGCTTCTCAGTAAAACAGATTGTAAAATATGAAGATTTATATAATAAAAAAATCTCAGTTACAAAAATAGATTTTAAAAAATAAGTTATTACTTTCTAGAGGAATATCTTCTATAGAATCCTGATTTGTTGCTACTGATTCATCTGCATCTGTGTAATAAACAAGCCTTATTTGAAATAAATAATAAAAGATTAAAATGAAACATAAAAATCTATTGGCTTTAATAAATAATTGATAATTATATATATATATATTTTTTTAATTTTATTTTGTATAATAGAACATACAATTTTAATTATTATTCAGAAAATAAAAAAAATATATATATATAATGATCAATTATTTGTTTATCAATAATTTAATTTAAAAAAGGGTAATTTATTTTATTTTTTTATTTTTATAGGATAATATAGTTATCTTTAATAGAACTTCTATTAAAGGTAACTATATTATCCTATCTTTTTTCCACGAGATATAACCTACAAGTTCGCATGTTCTTACCTTTCTGTTGTTCTCGACGTTTTAGCACATTTAATTTCGTCTTTTCTCGTTTTTTAATTTTTCGCATCAATATTTTTTCGGGTACGGACATTTTTTCGAGTTGTGGAATATTATCGTGGCAATATTAAAAATCGTAAACGCAAGGTTGATATACTTGAAGCAACTTGAAAACCGAAGCAGGTGGAAGGGAGAAGGGAAGCAGACTGAAGTTGTAACATCAAGGTACATTTTCACAAGCCGCTCCAAAAGCTGTTTTAGCGACAAGAAGGATCACGTGATCAAAATTCTCGTTTGATATTCGTCCATCTTGATTATGTGATCCTCGTGGACCTCGTGGACATTAAGCAGCCTGTTTGATTTGAGCTGCTCATGAAAATATACCGAAGTAATATTTCGATTACGAACAGTTTCAATTCCAAATTTCCAAGAAATCCAAATCCGAGGGTAGACAGACGGGCAGATCATCAGGAAATTTAGAGATCCTTTAAGTACTCTATTCTGATCTGTTCGTTATCAGGAACTGTCAGGCACATAGTTGGATTTTAAATTATCCGCATAGGGGTTTGCGCGAAATCTACGCGCTATATGAAGCTTCCAAATTATTTCCAAATGCCTCGAGACATTCGTCGAGGTGAGGTTATACTGTCATTTTGAGCGGCGCGAAGAGGTTAGATTTATCCGTGGATACAAGGTATAAACATGTCAGATAAGGAGTCGAATGAGGAGATCGAAGTGATAGCCGAAAAACTGCATAATGTTGCGACTATCGAGCCAGCGCACACCAAAACTCAGTCACGGCAACAGCAGCAGCAGGCAAAGAGTTCACGGAAAAACAATAATAACGATGTAGTACATCATCCTGTAGATAGTAAAAAGCCTGATGCTACCACTACAGCTGTCCCAGAGGAGTATGTTTTTATAAGGAATGTACCTGAACTCAATTTACCTGAGAAGATTCTATTTGTTATCGATACAGTGAGAGAGCAGCAATGTACACCCTTCAAATTGGGTACAGGTGCAACATACTTACCCCTGTTTATGATAAAACGTGTGGTGGAAAACTTTGTTGGCGCAAAATCTACTATACAGCCTGGAGTGCATGAGTATGCACTAATGAGTCTGGATTCACGCAATGCTTCCTGGCTCTGTGGCTACACCAGTAATACAAAAACTATTCTCAATCATCTGGAGGGTATCATGGAGGATGTACCAGACGAGGAGCAGAGGACTTATGATTTGGGACTGTTATTCGAGGTGATACACTCACGGATAGCAATGCCGACAAGGAACCAACCAACATTCACCTCGCGTGTCATTTTTATATATGGAAGATCAAATTCCATCCCAAAGTTCCACACCGGACAGAAGTATCTGGAGGCTTTAACAGAGAACCCATATTTCTTCTTGGATGTGCTGTTCGCCCATGAACCACCTAGCGATGATAACATGTGCGAGGCAGTATACGCCGAAATCGCAGCTTTAGACACAACCAATTTCTCTTATATCTTCGAAGTAGGTAGGAACGCTGCTAAAATACATGATAATATGGCGAAGCTCCTAGCACATCCCTTGCAACGTCCACCACAGAAGGATGCTTCTTATACTCTTTACTCAATGACTGCCAATCAGGAAGTGCATATTAATGTATAGTGTTTTGTATATTTGTTATTAAGTAACTTATTTTTATGGAAAAGTTATCATGTAATTTTCGTCAGATCAGATCTATCTAATGCCATATAATTTGAGGGCAATCATTTGCTAGTACCAGTAATATCTTTTATAAAGATTCTAAAGGCGTCTATTTTGCTGATTTATTAAGACTTACAAATGATTTATATGTTATTAGTTTTAATAGAATAGTGACTTTTGCAATTGTGTACAATTCTTTAATATGATTGATTTATACATTTAGATTTTCTCTGTAAGAAACTATAAAAAAGGACAAGAATTAATCATATTAAGAAATCTTCCAGTAGTTGCAAAGCTACTTTTGTCATGGAATACATAGCCATTGATTGTGTTTAGCAGAAGAAATAGTTTTGTAACTATTGTAAAATTTTTTAATTGGTCTTGCCTTCAGTTTTTCACTGGATCTAAATATGTAAACTAATTATGTTAAAGAATCATAGCAGTTGCAAAGCTGTTTTTTCTGTGGAACACCATAGATACATTACTACATCAATCTTGTAATATAAATTTGCTAACTAATCTTTCATATTAGACATCTAGGTTTAGAAATATAATTCTAAAAACTCAACAATTATTGTTTGTGTAATTCTTAGTTCAAACCAAAATTGTTTTATATATGTACTTATGAAGTATTATATAAAATTTGTATATACAATATAAACATTATAAACCAAATATTGTTACGTCACAAACTGATAACAAAATTGTAATTTTCAACCTTTTTTATTTTTAGCATAAAGTTTGAACTACATTATCATTTATATTTTAATTGTAAAATATAGATGGAAAAGTACTTATAAAATGGGAAAAGTAATTGCACATTCGGTAAAACAGATGACTTTAGGATCTCCTTAACAATTTTATTTATATTTATTAGAGAATATACAGCAAAAAAGAGATAATTGTGTGTTATATATATCGCTTTTCAAACTATCATCAAATAAATAAAATCATTTTTATATAGTTATGAAACGATCTGTTTTGCGTAAGCAAATCAAACATACAATGTCTAAAAGAAATATAAACTCGATCGTACTTTAAAAGATATTCTATCATCTTTCTTTTATAATGTTATTTTTGTTAACTCTTATGTCTTAGCTTATTACTTTTTTAATATTTTATTTATAATTTATATAACATTATATTATTCATTGGTCAGATTTTAGAGCTTCATGATGCTTTGCTATCAAATGGGCGGAAAGTTTGATTTTTCGGGTAAAATTGTGTCCACAAATCTGACAGTGAAATGGCTTTAACCCGAGATGTAGATATTGATGTCTAACAAGATTAGATGACGTCGTAAACTTTCGTTCACACATATTACATGCGTAAGGCTGCTCACCGGTGTGCTTTCTTCTATGTTTGTTGAGGTCTCCCGTGTGATTGAATTTCTTTTGGCAATACTCGCACATTAATTGTTTCTTCCTTATAATTCCAGTGTTCTTACGGACTTTCGAATTGTTGATACTATCTTTATTTTCTGTATTAATAGAATCGTTATTTCTTTTTACCTTAACGTCAACTTCCGTAGCTTTCTCAATTTGAAAATTTTCATTGACTTGCGACTTTTCCATTATTTCTAGATTGCCGATAATCTGATAGATAAATTTTGACAAAAATTGCTCACCGATTTTTCTAAATGCGTCTTAAAGCTGCAAAATAATATTTTAGTTAATATGATATATTTTTTATGATCTCTAGAAATAATTATATTGTGATGTAATTTACGAATTATTTTTAAAATATTACAATAAATATATAAATACAATAAATGTTATAAATTATAACAGTTCAATAAATTTCTCTGTTATACACATACAATTCATCTGTCGTAACATTTATTTATATTCTGAAAAATACATGAATAATACTCATTGAAAATTGTTTCGTATAAAGATAATTAATCTGTTTCCTTATATTTATCACTTTATTTGTCGTTTACATTTGAATTAATCTTTAAGGCGTAATATAATTTCACATTACAGGCAACTCTCATTACGGATAACATCAATTACATTTTTCTAATTATTGTTTATTTAAATATGTATAAAAAAATTTTAATTCTAAATTCTCTGGAAGTCATAAATTAATATTACATCTTGTAGATCAATCGAAATTGTACACGACACTTGCTTGCAATTTATCATATAGTATTATACGTCCTTACCAAAGTTTCAAATTCAATTTTTGTAGAAGCATGTGTTATCTCGTCGCTTCTGAAAACGAGTTCTGTATACTTCTCGCAGCAAGTATAACAGCGTTCTTGAGTATTTATGTATAACATACTCCCGAATATTACCATTAATGTACACTTAAAAAAGTACGAAAGCAAAAGTATGACTAGCCAAAAAAAAACAACGGATAAGACATTGTCAGTATGTCATAATGACATATATTTTCTCGGCAAAACGGATGATACTGTGCGAGTGGCGTAATGAAAGTGCCATCGGGGAATACCCGACTGGTGTATCCGGACAAGTCTCCGGTAAATATAGATAAATAATATATATATATACATATATATCTATATATGTATATGATGTATGTCTGCATGTATGCAGAAGTTTTTATAGAAGAGATAAAAGTAAGGAATATCTCTACGAATATTATAAATAAATAATTGTATTACTCAATCTCAAAATACAGAATGTATTTTGAATTTTTGAATTGTTTGTATATTTGCATGTTATTTACGATTTTCAAATTTAAATAAATTTCTGTGTAAACGATAAATTTATATTCCGTGAGTATCTATATAAATATTACAAAATATGTCATACGCATTGCATTGATTCTCTATTAATAAAAATTGAGATGTTCTTAAAAAGTAAAAAAGTTTTTCGAGAATTAAGTTTTTTAAAGAGATCATGTATATTTAAAAATAGTGATACATACACTTCCCTGATGGAAACGTATACATATCCACGTGTACATATTCAAAGTAAAGAAACACAATCATACAATTGATAATATGTTTACGAATCTTCTATTGATTATGTTAATAGTATGATTAGATTGAAAACACTATATACAATACGTGATTGAATAATTACAGTATAATTATAGTAATGTATTTGTCAAGATGGTTATTTCATTTTTATCGTATTTTAATAACAGATTCTTTGGTTTGTTAGAAGTTTGGTTTGTTAGTCAATTTTGTCCTCAAGGAAAATACACATCAATATCAAACATTATATATTTTTATGGAACATCTAATTTCGACCAAGAAAAATTGTCTGTTTGAAATTGATAATCATTATCTATTTTTTTCCTTTGAAATTCGATTTACAAGATTTTTTTTTTAAATAACGAATATTATTTATTTATTATAACACTATTATTGCCTGACATTCTTGCCGAGAATATAATTCCTCTGTGAATAAAAATAATTTGTCATTGAAATTGATAAAAGTTAAATTAGAAAACTGTATACAATATACATTATACCGGATAGGGTAATTAGCAATCTGACAATTATAGAATAATTATAATCTATTTTTGTATCACAGAAATGCAAGTCACTTGTTAACACATTCATTTGCTCGTCGTAGATAAATACACAATATGATCGCGAAATATATTTAAAAAATTTCTATCGTTATTTTGTACAAAATTCATCGGTTTCGCGAGATTGCGTTTATCTGATCACCAGCGATAATGAAAACACAGACAAATGTTTCCTAGAAATATTAATATGTACTTCGTAATATTTAGTTATGACTATGATAAATATCCGTCATTATCGGCACACGATCATTTTAATTTATTTATGATCACGTTTTTACGTTTATTACGTGCAGTGATTGTCATATATTTGTTCAAAATAAAACGAAAGAGAAGAAAACATTCGCCAGCAAATTCGTGACCATACTGAATTAAATCTGCAGTAGAAGTCTTCTGTAATGTGACTTCAATACTTCAAAACTATTTGCATAGATATATCCTAAAACATTTGCACGCGAATCACAGAGCTTAAAAGACAAGCGATAAAAAGCAGCAGTGTTATATTCGGACTAGATGCCGAGGATGTATGTAATGACAAGAACTGCTTAAAATACGCCATGTATTCCGAGAACTGCTTCATCATGTTCTCGAGATCGTTGTCTTTTGACTGTTTGTATTCGATTATTGTCGAATTTGTCGCCAACATTGTCGAATTTACCGCTAACATTGGCGCCTTGGTCATCAATTTCCAGTCGCCGCATTTAGGAAAATCATTAGGCACAGGTGGCATTTCCTCGTCTTCGCCCACCTTGAAGATCAGTGACATTCCTATTTCCACGTGAAACTCGATGTGGCAGTGGAACAGCCAATATCCTGAAAAATATTGATCAGCTCGATTATTTACCTTCATACATTGATGATTCGTATTTTTAAATATTATTTACCTGTTTATATGTAATAAAGTCTTACCTGGATTATTAGCGTAAAATCGCACAATAGTATAACCACCGTCAGGCACGGTGACCGTATCCTTCAAAGGTGCCCGTTTGAGTTTCCTGTGTATCAAACCTTGCTTATCTAATTCTCTCACTTCATCGGCGGTAGTATTATGTCCTATCCTTTCCATAGCCACTACGCGGAACTGATAGCCGTGAAGGTGAAACGGATGATTTGCATCATACGGAACACCTGCCAAGGATTATTAGTTGCATTATTAGATGGCTTAAACAATTAGAGATACAAAAGCAGTATTTATTGCTTACACACCTTCATCGACAAGAACTAGTTCCACTACGCTATTAGTTTTAACCTGAAGCACATGAGTGCAAGCGCAGTAATCATTCTCGCATTCCCCGACCGTGCTGGAGTTACAAAATTGATTCGGCTTAATAAGATGTCTTTCGGGCAGGAGTGGAAACGACGGTAGCTTCATTGATATGTGATTCAATTGCGGTGTAAACACCTGTTGTTTCACTGAAAATTCACGATTGAAATATTTTATGAAACAATAAACGATATACACACACTTTGACAAACTCTAAAGCTGTGTGTAACTTTTCCATTAAAGAATGTATATATGTATAATTGAATAAGGCATAATTTTAAAGCATTTAGTAAGTGGAATATTTTCAATAACTAAACAATTAGTTAGATTTATTAAAAAATATAATGCACATTTTAATAGAGATATCAAAAATTAATAATTTTCTTTTATATTTTTGATTATAAATTAATTTTTAAAAATTAATATATTTGAATATATTTACCTTGACGGAAATCATACAAATTCTTGCGATGAAAATATGGATTATCTTTCTTGTAAAAATCATAAGATATGTAAAATTGATAATCAGGATTTCTGGTGTTTGAAACATCATCGTCGTCCATCGCGTCCAACATTGGCATACTAATGCTATTGTTTGACTCAGTTCCTTCGTTTAAGGCGTTTACTTGCTAAAATCAGAAATGGTTTTTTTATTTATTCTAAAGAAATTCAAAATAAAGATGAAATAACGCTTCGAAAGCTATTTAAAAGGGCACTATACGGAAATTATATATATATATATATGAAAACATTAGTATACATACCAGTCCAAGGGCGTTATTTCTTACACGATCATATGAAACGTTTTCTGTTGGTTCTTTATCGGGTGCGCCCTCGTATTGCAATTTTGCGACTTGATAGGCGCTCAAAAATCTTTCATCGCAATCCATCAGTCCTCGAAATCTCATCCAGTAATTATCCACCGGTTGGTCCATGTTAATTATAAAATCAAATCTTTCCCCGGCGTAACTTACCAGCGATTCGGCTGCACATTACATAATAATATATTAAAAAAAGACATGATAAATCTATAAAGAAATACTGAAAGTAAAGTCATACCTTCTACTGATGCAATATCACGCCCATCTGAACTGATTACGTACAAGGTATGGTTGTCGACAGAAACTTCTATAGGGCAATTTAGGAACTCTGCATTAATAAGTCTGAATCTATATCGAAACTTCTGTAAGCATAAACAATAAATAAAAGTCAGATTGAGATAAAAAAAATAAGTACAAATCATGTAATTGTATTTTTAAAAAAAGGAAGAAAAAGTAGAAATGATTTTAAAATGTTAAAAGATATTCTTTTTAAAGGATAAAGTTATATTGACTATAAAACGTCTTTCGAAAAAATAGATGAATATGTAATTCTTTTGTTTTTTTATAAAAAAAATTTTATTTGTTTCTTATTTGATGTGAATAAGAAAATAACGGTTAAAATTAACAAAATTAACATTTTTGAAGCGTTAAAGGTAATATGCACTAACTTAAATAGATTTAAATAACATAGCAAAATGAAAAGTCTTACAGTCATCTTATGCAAATATTAGTCTTTTATATTACGAATACTTTCTCCTATGATTTAAACTTACCGGTTTTACGACGAATGTCGTAATAGGCATATCAGTTTTCTGATCTGTAAACGAAAAGGAGTTCTTCACTGATTTCGGAAAGAGGGGATCCTTATTATCTTGGGCCACAAAACGGCCTAGACCGTTTATGAGTAAATTCGGCGCTTTATTGTGACCGTCAGCGTGGTAATGCGCCAAGAACTTGGTGAGACCCAATTCATGAACCCAATCAGCGACTATTAGTGTATGCTCATCGTAATCATATAAATCCTTGTGCCAGTTCATTTTGGGAGGTACACGAACGATTAACGGACCGAACACGCCATCACCTCTTTGAAATCCTGCAAACGTGCAATACAAAATATTATACAAACAATGGATCTCTTGAAAACAGTTAATTTTCCAGAATACTGTTAATAAGACCGTCAATAAATTATAATATTTTAAAGTAAATGGATTTATTGATTTCAGCAACGTTTTCTTCAACTTTCCGGAGATAATGTCAAATGCGATTACTTGAGAACAAAATTTAGTGCACCTGTATGAGAATGCCAGAAGTGTGTGCCAGCTTCGGTGGCGATGTAATTGTATTGGAAGGTTGCTCCAGGAGGGATAGGGCATTGCGATACGTAGGGTACACCGTCCATATATGGCGTGTCGATATGATGCTGGCCGTGCCAGTGCATCGTAGTGCTCTCCGCGACCAACAAGTTAATCATATCGACTATTATCCTATCGCCTTGGCACACCTGTAATTAAAGCAATTTCCTTTAGAATATTCTCATCTCACTTGATTTGCTTGATCTGACTCGCAACGACCGCTTATATCGACCACAGATCGCACTAAAATGAGATTATGAGATCATATAGATCGAATATCATTATCGGCGATGTTTACGGTTTGTAATTAAAACGCGTGATTGAATTATCACTAATGTCCGCAAAGAATTTTATTTGCGTATCTATAATAATTGTGATGAAATTGCAAGTGAAATTTAGAAGTAAAATATGAACGATGTGTGTATACTTAATGTTATCATGAGAACAGTGGGATTCACATTACAGATATCCTGTACTATAATATATAATGACTAACGAATACTTCGAGGAGTTATTCGCGCGGTGATTATTCTGTCAAACAAATATTTGTCAAACAAAATAATCGCCGCACAAATAATTCCTTGAAGTGCTCGTTACACAATCATTATAAGATTCCCATTCAAAATATATTAAGTTGTAAGGTATATAAGATATCTGCAATATGAATCCTACTGCACTGTTCTCATATGTATTCGCATAATGTAACGAGGAAGCATCGGCGAGCAATAATTAAACTGTAAAAAATTGCAATAAAGAAGACGAAGCGGTGAATCATTTTTAGCGACCGAACTAAAAAATCCGCAGCTGACTAAGAAAATAGTAATTAGCAATCAAAAGTGTTTCGCAACAAAAATCTGTGTAAATTACTTTAAATATATAATTTTGTTTATATCCACAGAATTAAAAAAATATACATACAGAAAATAAAGATCAATTAAAAAATGAGCGGAAATTAATTAAATGTAATTATGGTAAATAAATAATAACATGTAATTAAAAGCTTTTATATACACACATATATATATATATATATGTATGTGCGTGTGTATATAAAAGCTTTCAATATATATATATATATATATATATATCATATATAGCAAGCTTTTCCTCTCTAGTTTTTTAATGTCAAACATTCACGTTCGTTCAATTTATTCATTGTCTACTAATAGCGCAAACTGATAAAGATTCTCGATGTGGTTTTCCTGCTGAATAAAAGATGGTATCCAAGAAAATAAAGCAGAAGCATAAATATGAAAACTAACATGTACGAAAGGGGTTTTTAACATAATTACCTCGATAGGCGGACCTGGCATTTGCCGGTTCACAACCATGATAGATCGGTTCACGCCATCCGCTGGAATGCAATGAGGTCGAAAGCAGTCTGTGATATTGAAGGGACAATCGTAACACGCTTTGCTCATTGTCTGATAATTCTCCAGTTTGAAGGTGTAATAGCAGTCCAGAGGCGCCTCATTATCCTTGCATGTTCTCCGACACGCGTGACGCTTCCAATCAACGATGTCGACGATTTCCGGATCAATTGGCGTCAGACCGAAGTCATTGTACATCGTTACTTCTAAAATCCAAAACAAATGTTGGTTTAAAAAAAAGTTGTTTTGAAATTTTTTTCCCCAACTTAGTCAATCAACTTGTCGTTTTTCTGTAAAAATTATTGATTGACACATTTCTGCAGCAAAGAATTCGGACCGAATTTTAGCACCGTGGATATAGGACTGTGCATTCTCAGATAAAATGTGAGAAATATTTAAATATATAATCACACTTGTTGTACATATTTCAATTGACTTTAGATAGGATCTCAGATAAAATGTCGTAATCATTTCTCCGTTATTAATTTTAATAAATCAGATACAACATTTTGGTAATTAGTGTTTAATTAATTTCACTTCTTCAAAATAATATTTTATTTTATTATGTTTGAGCTATAAATTATTCAATGATGTATTATTATGCACAGATAGTAGAATGTAGAATGCGAATGTTTCAACATATTTTTCATATAGTATATAATAGCATAAAAATTCGCTTTTATATAAAATAAAAAAAATAGGAAATGTCAATGCAACCCAGACATGTAAAAGACAATAAAAGTGAAAAATTCTAATCAATACTAGCAAACCAAGATGAATATATTATATAATGAAAAGCAACTAACCTGATCGACTTTTATAAATAATCAACTGGAGCAGAACAAACAGCACATTCCAGATTGTCATTCTCGATCTGTAACAAAGGCAATTTCATTCAGAAATACATTAGATATGCATAACATGTAAAATTACATGTAACGTTTTGTGAAATCTTGAGATTACGGAGATAACTCGACAATGATAACCAGGATTTAAAAGATATTGTGCGTTTATGCCTTACGAGTATGTAATGCGTGAGCATAAAGTGTTAAACTTTGATGATATGATATGTGAGTTTAAGATTACATTGTACAATTGTACAAAAAATAAGTAAATCGAAATTTAAGTCAAGAAAAAGAAAAATTCATTTTTAATTTTCGAAATGCAAAATTAATTGAAAAAGGTTTTGATTTTTGCTTTTTTCCGTTACACTCTAGAAGCATTTTATATATCTATATTGATCGTAAAGCAATTGAGTCGTAAATTTTCTAAATTTCTTCTAAATGTAGTATAAAATAGTGTTTTTAATTTTTTCTTCTTTTCTTTTTCATTTTTATTATATTTATATTTGTTTCACTTATATTAATTAAACAAAAACTATTTCCCTTGTAGAAAAGTACTACTGAGCACTAGGAGTATTTTGAGGCACTACTGTACTACAATACTACTCAGCACTACTATACTACTACACCAGCGCAGTAGTGCTGTAGTAGTACAGTAGTGCCTCAAAATACTCCTAGTGCTCAGTAGTACTTTTCTACAAAGGTTATAGATTGGTTTCATATTTTAATTGTAAAATTGATTTTGCCTACGCTACTTTTCGACACATAATGTTATATTTCATATATATTTTTATAAAGATCTAATTACAGTTATAAAAAACTATAATTTTATTTAGTTTATTACTATCATATAACTATAATGTAATTTAAATTTTCTGTGCAAATTTGCAGGAAAGTAGTAAATTATTGAAGATGAGGATAGTTTTTTATTCAGGATTCAACTTGAACAATCGAGTCTCATTTAAACTTTACATCTTCTTACGTCAATATACGATAAATGATACGATAATGCACGTGTACAGAATGTCCTACTTCTGGCGTATTTTAATGATCCATTAGTCAACGTGTAATAAGATTTTTCCTCAAACAGAATAATAAAAATCATTTTTATCACAATTTTTCTAACTCTCTACGTGTCATTAAATTTAAAAAAAAATCCAACAAATTGCATTAAAACAACTTAACTTAAAGAATTACAAAGTCATTTAGATAATTAAAGTTATTTTATGTAAGTAAATTTCAATTTATTTGCACGAACTTGATTTGCAAAAATCCTTTTATTTTTCATTGTTTAATTTTAATTATTAACTTTGATAGTTATTATATTAAGGAATTGATCATTTTTGTTGAAATGATATTACGATTGCATTTTGTTTTCAGATATTTGACGTCATTTTGACAACATTAAATCAGTTTAATGAAAAATGACGACAATATGACTGCAAATGATGCCAGTTTGAGTTTTTAATATCTTATAAACTTTATATATTCGCAATACCTATACGCACTTTTTTTATATTTTAAACTACTAATTAGTATAAAATTTGACATATATACATAACATTATATGGTTATTACTTTTACGAAAAATTATGGAAAATATATCCCACTTAATTATCATGTACGCACGTGTAAAACAGCGTTTAATGTTTCAACCGAGAAATTACGTTGATATCAGTATGTTGAAATTCCTAATGCTTCTTACAACATAACATATATACGTCGTAGCTTTACAAATTTAGCACAACTTCACGTAACGTATTGCATCGTTGCAGCACTATAGACACGGCTATTATCCGCAATTATGATGATAATATTAATAATCATTATTTCCTTTTACTACCAAATTATTTTTACTCTTCTAAGAATTTACCAAAAAATCTTTTCTTGATAAATTAATCTTATATGTCAAAACAATTGTTAGTAAATACACTGTATATCATACTTATTTATGTATTATTATAATTATTAAAATATTAATTATTTATTTTTATTATCAAAATAATTTCTATAATCTTTTATATAAAATATTAACAAAAATATATGTGTGTGTGTATATATATAT